GTGCTCTGTCTTACCTTCAAAACCAGGTGCACAAAGGCATTCAAAACCACTAGACGGTACAAGTACACATGTTCCATCATTTTCACATACAGTAAACTGGCATAATGACAAAGTGGTTGGCTGAGGAGCTGGAGTTGTTGGTAGAAGTGAAACCTGACATAGAGCACCTAAGAATGAAAAACAAATGTTAAGTGAAGCATTATTTAGTGACCAAGGTTAACAACATTATTATATGTTGATATAAACAAGCAGCCTGTCGGCTGAGATAGCTCCACTGTTAGCAATGCACATTTCAATTAAAGAACAGAAGATATCATTAGAAAATGAACAATATGTATAGTATTGGTTGGACTTGCGGTTTTTAACAAGAAGTCGAAAATATCATTTTTTACCAAAAATGACAAAAATACTCACCAAAATTAGAAAATTGAAAATATCATCATGAAATGAACAAATCTAAAAGAGGTCCACCCAAGGTATATATACACCAATCATCAAAGCATTCAGGCTTGTAGTTTTCAAAAAGAAGTCGAAAAAGTAAAACACTGACACGAAAGATGGACGAAGACGACAATCACTCATATGATAAGCTCCGCTCGACAAAGTCGACAGTGGAGCTAAAAATGATCAGCTATCAATCGTCGCACTTTACGTTTTTACGTTTGCGTTTTGTGCATGCACATGAGCAGAGACTGGTTGGCAAAAAAATACTGTTCGCAGCCAAAGATAGAATAACACTGTTGTTGATATTGAATATACATGTATGTTTCGGTTAATAACGCAGCTCACCACAGCAGATTGCAAGCTATCGCTGATCGGTAAGCAATATTTGTTATCTGACATTCACATGCTGGTTGGCAAAAATGTAAACATATGATGTCATGGTGTGAAAACCTTTAATATCTCATTTGATCAAACCTCGCTGAAATTATGCTTTTCTAAGTCATAGATCACACTGGATATAGTTAGCTGGATGGTCAAAAAATCAGTATACAAATTAAATCTATTGTTTTCAGTCCATCAATCAACCTGGTACATAAATGTTTGAAGAACATGTTTACCCAATGTTGGGTTTATGAAAACAAGCAGAAATTACTCGCCAAATACATGGAGCACAGTAAATTTTGACCAACGATTTAGAAAGTATTAAATATAATGTTTAAGAATCTAAAAAATTTTGTTTTTTTGTTTTCCCCTCTCACTACCTCAAGTTTATACATTTAAACAGTAATATTGAATAACTCTTTTTAAACCTCTTTATCAATTTATGATTTAAGAAAATGCCAAAAAATTGACACCAGGATGGGAAGAGGATTTGGTAGTTGCTTGCAGAAATTTTAGGACTTCAATGCATATTAATGAATGGAAAATATTTTATCAACTTTCCAAATTTCAAATGAAATGTGGTTGTTTACAATAAAGAATCAACACACTCAGGATATACAATGTATGTGGGAATTCAATCTGCATGGCACCAGGACAAAAAGAGAGTTTATAATGATAAGTAATTAGTTATTGGCACTGTGCCTTACCTTCAAAACCTGGTGGACAGCGGCACTCAAAACCTCCAGTCGATAAAATTACACATGTTCCATCATTTTCACATATGGTGAATGAACACAGTGACAAAGTGGTTGGCTGAGGTGCTCGTGTTGTTGGTGCAACGAATTGACACAAATCACCTGAAAAATGCGAAGCAACCATTCATAGTACAACCTTAAAATAACACTTTGAATGCATATACAACATATAATCTGTTAATATATGGTAACCAACGCGTGTCGTTTTGAAAACGGCATTTTACCCGCATCTTGCAAGATAATGGAATAATTGCAATTGTGGGCGTGCCAATACAACGGCGCCATCAAGTCTAGATTGGAAAAGACCCAAGTGTTTTGCAAAGTTTCAAGATATATTGCTAACTGACTGTCTGAATAATTCTCAGAACGGCTGTATAGTACCCGGTATCAGCTTTATGTGCAACGATGTGTTCTGTGAAGCTCCTTATTCAGATCAGGTTTTACAGTCAACCAAAACAAACAATCACTGTGTTCGCCTTGAATTCAAAACAGGCGAGCACAATTGTGTCCTCGCCTTGAGTCACACACCATAGATCATCAACATCCCTTGTTCTACTAATTAACCTATATCAACAATGCTGTTTGCAGATACATTACATTACAAGTCAAGTGGATAAAGGATTAAAAATGGCCGCCGTAATAAAACACATTTTTGATTTTTTGTTTTTCCTTTTGTTTTGAGCATTTTATATAAAACTGAATATCCTTACAAAAAGAACTGTAAAGGCAAACCGGGAATAATATCAATGACTTTTGCAAAAATCATTGTGAGTAAATTTTAAACCGAATTTGTGACGCATGAAAAAACTGAAGGAGTTCTACATTACAACAGTCAGCATGGTTTAACTCTGGCCAGTATAAAGTATATAGAGTTGTTTGCGCATGCCCAAATATTGCTTATCGTAATCTGTTGTAATCCGCAAACCACTAACTTAGTTGATTCACAAACAGTACAATCAAGTCAATAGATTCTGGAACATATCACGTGTTTTTTCATCATATTTCTCCAACTTCTAAAGGTAATTTCATTCTGTAACTTACACTATTATTTAAATATTTTGATATCGACTCAGAAAAAAAAGAAGAAGAGAATTAGCCATGAACCTGAGTTGCTATCTTAAGTAGACATAATTAAGGTGCTCAGGCTGACACTTGAGTGATGTGTGGAGACATTGCACTCTCATTGTCATATGTAGGGGTAGCTAAGTATGTGGTAGCTTACAATTGGTGCTGAATCCCAGAAAGAAAGTTTGCATACAATTAAAATAGCAATGATTCATATTATTTTACATGTAAACCTAAACAATCTATGACAAGAGAGGTGGAAACCTCAAAAATGTTGATGGGAGAGATACCTGACTGTGTTTGCGTCTTACCTATAAATCCGGCCGGACAACTACAAAAGTAAGCACCAGTTAAATCCTGACATGTACCGCCATTCTGACATGGGTTACTCAGACACTCGTTTATTTCAATGTCACATAGTTCACCTACAGGAAATGCCAAATTCACTGTTAGTAATGACTATGATTTCAAAGTCAGGAAAAGAATTTAAAATAAAATAAAACTGTTCATCTTGAATTATAATTTGGTTTGATTACAGAAGTTTCCTTATAAAGCAATTCAAGCATAAGTCATTGTTTACTGTGAATTCATTTCATTTCAATTTGGTCATTGTTGACATATTTTTTTTCCCAGATCTTTTCTCAAAAACTATGCAATACATTAATTTTATAGGTTGTCATGGCAGCCAGGGAGGACTTCTGATTACAAAGATGATAGATGGACAAATAATCATCCATACTATATGCTCTGAGTCCATTGTGAAACAGTGCAACTAAAATGATAATTTCAGACATAGAAAAGATTGTTTTACATGCATGCAAAGATACAAGGAAGGAACCACAAAAAGGTTAAAGGTCACCTTCCCCCTTGGTGGGAAACACTGGTATTAAGAATCTGATTTTACCTTCAAATCCAGTCACGCAGGTACAAACAAAAGCACCAATCAAATTCTGACAAATACCACCATTTTGACACGGGTCACTCAGACATTCGTCTATTTCAATGCCACAGAGTACACCTACAAAAACCAAGGTTTAGGATGAGATTTAAAGACAAATCCAGGGATTACACAGATAATAGAGAATACATTATCGCCTGGGAGTATTCAACACATTTAATAGGTATTATCTTGTCGTCAGGGAGTACTCAACACAGCTGATGGGTGTTATCTTGTTGCCATGGTCACATGACACAAGAAATCAGGCATTCACATTCTTGTCTTGTTTCTGACTGCAACAACAACAGTAATTCTTTTTTTTCACTTAGACGGAATAAAGAATTGCAGTATTTGTTCTATTAGTGGCACATGGTATACAATACATGCAATTGTTGGTTGTTGGAGATGCGCTTCTAATAGAGCAAATATAGTTTGCATTATTATTAATCTAGTTTGGTAATTAAAATTGAAAAATATTTTGCAGTGCTCTGTCTTACCTTCAAAACCAGGTGCACAAAGGCATTCAAAGTCACCAGATGGTATAAGTACGCAAGTCCCATCATTTTCACATACAGTAACTTGACATGGAGACAAAGTTGTTAGTTGAGGAGCTGGCGTTGTTGGTAGAAGTGAAACCTGACATAGAGCACCTAAGAATGTAAAACAAATGTTAAAAGCCTAGGTATACAAATGTACTACCAATATGCTATAGAAGTTCCTTGGAAATCACTGAAGTAAACAGCTCATGACAAGTTCCGGTAAAGTCATGTTTTCTTCAAATTACAGGTCGATTTTGTCATACCAAAGTGGATGTACGCACAATGAATATCACAGCAGTGATCATATGTTATACAAATGTATTTTTAACGTTAAATAGTGTATGAATTGAGATTTTGAGGAATAAAAGTAAATAAAACTGATTAAAAAACATGCTACTAAGCTTGAATAATTAATAGCTGTCAATCAATGTCAAATGACATTGAACCGCTGAAACAAAGTGCGTCATCTAATCTTCACAAACATTTACATTAGTTCCTAATGTGTTTTTCATTACCATATCACATAGTGGATTCAACAAAGAATGAAAATTGTATTTGCAAATTTGAAAAGTCGCCACAGAGAGTAAACACCCCTAGTTGTTTTTAAAGAAATACTGTTTAGTATTGTTGATTGTTATGTTCGAAGTGTGTATACATAGTGATCTAACGATGCATTGTTGTTCAAGTGATGTTTCGTTTTGATTTTTTTTTTGTGCATGTTGACTGAAACATGTAGAGGACCAAAATGAGGCTTCTATTCTTACCTTCAAAACCTGGTGGACAGCGACACTCAAAGCTACCAGTTGGAAGAATTACACATGTCCCATCATTTTCGCATATGGTGAATGTACACAGTGACAAAGTGGTTGGCTGAGGGGCTTGTGTTGTTGCCGCCATGAATTGACACAAATCACCTGAAAAATATGAAACAATCATTCATAGTAAAGCCTCTACTTTGTATATGTTTGTTAGCTATTTGTGAAAGAACTTTACAAATATATATCTTTGGTAGTGAATGTCTCATTTAATAATTAATTGGTTATCAAATCTCTGTAAATGATCACTGGCAGTTATGTAAAAATTATTGGTAGTTATACATGTAAGGTGAAAAATTAATTTCTCAAGTAGAGAGTTGAAGTGCTCAGACTGATACTTGAGTGATGTGTGGAGACACTGCACTCTCATTGTCATAGAAAAAGCCAAGGTATGAGGTAGTTTACAAGGCATGAGGTAGTTTACAAGCATGAGGTAGTTTACAAGGCATGAGGTAGTTTACAAGGCATGAGTAGTTTACAAGGCATGAGGTAGTTTACAAGGCATGAGGTAGTTTACAAGGCATGAGGTA